GCTGGGAGTTGGCCGACCCAACCCAAGATGTTGGCGCGTTGCAAGGAACTACTCCAAAAATCGACACCACTCGCACAGAACCAATGTTTCTGTTTCTTTGCCACCATGCAGTCATGGTCAATAGAGGTCCAAGCGACTCCGTGTTACACCACGTTGCACTCAATTCACCATCCCATGCATCGATTGAGCTCGAAAGTGGCATGTTCAATGCAGCTGCGGCTGTTGATTGCAGCCGAGAGGCCTTGCTCTATGTCCAACCATCGTAGCATGTGTGTACCGCGCTCAGTGAAGAAGACCCGCTGATTGGAAACTGCTATTCCTTGGTTGCATGGAGTATCGAGTAGACCATCTGGGTCACTCCATCCTGCTATCCGTGGAATCCTGCATTGATGCACCCTGCCCGGGCTTGCCTATCTGAAGGGCTTATATAGAGTGCAAGAGACTGCGCACATCTGCACAACCTGTCCAATCCTTTCCTTCTTGAATCCCAGCAACCGTAGGGATCGCTGAGGGGACTCTGCACGCCAGGAGCCCCATCCTCGGAGTACCAGTGGCGAAAATCAAGCAAATCAAGCAATCACGTAGCAAGGCGCGCTCAAGACCATGTTCGCCGGGCCACTACAACTTACATGGTCAAGAGTTCAATGGTTTAGCACTTATACTTATACAGTATCATACAGTACAATCAAAGCCATTGTATGTAGCGGGACCTCTCAAGCTAAGTCACTTCCCCATCTCTTCCGTGCTAATTACACTCTGTGCGGCCACGTTTCCACCATGTCGATGGTCCTATTCGGAATCCGGCCATCGCCCGCCACGGTTAGCATGATGCCATTGATGATCAGGGTGGCCACATGCATTGCGAAGTGCTCATCTAGGGAGCAGTCTCCATCACCGCCACACCAGCAAACCTTGTAGATACCCATTCCTGATTTCAAGGGTTGACTTTGACATACTTTGACTATGTGTGCCCGGCCGTCTATGTACCGTGTGCTGGAAATTGCACGGAAACCGATCACTTAGAGCAGCAACTCAGCAATGTGACAGCCGGCACTTTGCGCAACGCAAACGAGCAAAGGACAGTTTCCCAATCATCTCGCAGCGGCGATTGATCTGGATGTTCTCCCACGTTTCCGACGCAAAGTCGCCATGAGCACCTTGGAAAGGGTTGACCAGGAGCTCATTCGCTATGGAACCCAGAGCAGAATCTGGGTATCACTGATCACTGGATGCCTTCTCCCTTCGAAAACGCTCTCAAGGAGCGCCAGCCTCGCAAGAAATCGCAAGCTTTAGGCCTCGGGATGCCTCGGGCCTGTTCCAAGCCCAGGTGTCATGGTTTGCTGTTTTGTTTCCATTATTTGCTTGTAGACCGGTGTCGTCGCCCTGCCATAGTTGTGCAACAAAATGTGTTTGGTAGGTTGGTGCTCCTTGGCTCCCCTCATCCTCAGTACATGTGTCGGCGTCGCTCGCATGCATTCCTACTTGAGCAGAATGGATCAGTACTCTTTACCACGCCGTTCACGAAACACAAGTCAACGGACACAAGTGGATCACGGTCTTTCACACCCAAAATGCATGATCTGAGGTGGGGCACGCTGTCCCATAGGTGCAGTCAGAGCCAGAACGTCGTCGTGCATAGTGGCACTTCCTGCCGGGCAAAGCTTCATGTCAGAATCCGAAGACCCACTTTGCGTCCTGACAAAAAGAGGAGAGGGGGGCTTGGCCTTCAAGGCCACAAAGCACCGCGTCCGCCACGATGCGAATTCGGTCATGCGGAGCAAGTGCGACACCTGCAGACGTGAAAATTCAGAAGGCACTTGCGTTGGCCACACTGGAAGCACCACAGTCTCCACAGATCTGTGAGACAGAGCGCGTAGTGTCGCAGTCACATGACATGAGATGCGCACAAAAATGTTGCACATTCGCGTAGTACTTGTAGCATCTTGTAGCACCATGGGTTGCCACAATTTTAACATTAACAGCTTGGTGTCGCCACTATCTCTCCTGAGAAGTCTCGTCGAATTGGACTTGGAAGTACTATGGAAGTGACATGACACAAGCCCCGTCCCAGATGCCTGTCAGCTGCAATGGCCACATACCGCCCGCAGTCTGCAGAACATGTCGGTTGCCGGAGGGCCCCTGCAGATCGTGTCGAGAAAATCATGATAGTACGGAGCGACACAAAAGCAGTGAGCCAGGTCAAAAACGATGCCTAGAAGCTGCCTGTTTCACGAGCTAGGAGAATCAAACGTCAAAAACTCGCGCGCCATCTCTTGACTCGTGGCTTCAGCACCAGCTGCCTTCGGGGTGACCTCCACTTCACAGACCGACAGCGGCGCCACAAGCGTTCCGGAAACGCGCAGAACAATCCAAAGATAGCGGCCTCTCACGGGAGTGGATTGGGTCGGGATGGGTCGGGCATAGGGTTAGGGGCACCTTCTTGAGCTTGCAGAGATGGAGACATGCTACGTAATTCCTACTTAGGAGACAGACATGCTGGAGGCCAATCTCGTAAGGGCTCCACCGTATACCTTGACATATTCCCACGAGCCCTGTGATCTCTAGTGGAGAGCTCGCCTGAAGCCAAACAGTTGAACGCGTTGGGCTGCTTGAGTCTGTCGAGCACCACAGCTTCCGCGCAAACTAAATTTTCACGCCAGGTGAGGATGGCGTTGCCCAGGCGGATGTCCAAAGGACCTAGTCACTGGGACATGTTTGCTCGTGTACTCATGTGCACATTGGACAGAGTTTACCACCACAAACGTCACTCTGTGTGGTCGCACATGGAAGGAGGGAGGGAAAGCACAGAACTCCTGGGTGCAAAGTCAGATGAGTGGAAGCCTGCAGCGAAAGCATCCGGCCTAAGCCGGTGTCAACGCTGTCGCTGCGGGTCATGATCCGAACCACGGCCACTGGGACCTGCAGTGCAGGATACATTCAAGGAAGTGCGCAGTCACAGTACCAAGGCTTGCGAGCTCAGCTAGCCTTCCTACACTGGGCCATCGTGCTCCATGACCGTCACTCTACTCTGATCTAGCGCCGCTTTGGCGATTCCAGTTCCAGGACTCCTTCTTAGCACTTGCAGAACCTTCTGGTGTGCCGTTCAGGACTCGGAAACGGTTCATGGCCAAAACCGGACCCTCAACTATGGGATGCTCCCTTAAAGCACGACGACACACGCATCCACAACACGAAACCGAGGAATGAGCTGGCATCAACCAGGCGCGAATGGTAAGTGCTTGTCAGCACAGAGGCGAGAGGTGTTCGAAACAGTTACTGCACGTGATCTTACCTAAGCTGGGGCTGGGCACTGTGTTTCTAGTTCCGATTGAAAAAACTGAAATAGCATCTATAGGCTGCAGATAAGCAGTACGCATTTGTTGTGAACTCCTCTGTGCAAGCAGCAGTCGCAGAAGTGATCTGGTAGGACATATATATATATATACAGATGCTACTGGTTCCATTGCAGCATATTGCAGCACTGGCATGATTCCAAAATCACGCATCCCAGCGCAAGGCAAGAAATAAAAAGCAAACAGCACTACTACATGTGACTATGGAATGCGGCAGTGGTGCAAACATTCGGGTGCTTAAACTACAAACTGGACAAATGTCTGCAAGTGTCTGCCTTTGCCTAGCGCAACATGATGCAAAACTGAACTAAAGAGCCACTCGCAATCCAAACAGCAACCGCAACAATCCTGAAATAAAGGCTGTCACATCAACATGGCCGTGGCAACAGCTGCATGCACCAAGACTCGCAAACAAAGAGCAATAGCCTTTGGCAAGATGTTCGACTTGCAGTACGCAGCAGCAGCATCAGCAGGCAATAGCAGGAACACCAGTGGGAGGCGAGAGAGGTCTGGCCGTGGTGGCAATAGTGATATCTTCGCAGGACAAATGTACGAGATTCCACATGACTTTTGCATAATTTGCATCAATCCCATGTTCAGGGAGAGCGCCTCGCGGCCAAGATCTACCCGCAGCCACGGATCCGGCGTCACCTGGCGGTCTTTGCTGCAAGGGTGTCAAGGCCAAGATTTGTACCCAAGGCCCTCAGGCCTTAAGGCCTTAAGGCCCGGAGGCCCGAGCCAGAATCAGGCAATCAACAACTCACTGCACCTGAAATGGCGGCTTGCTTCATGATTGTTGGATAAAACCCGTCAGAAACCCTCAAGCACCTACGTACTAGTAGATTCATGTTCAACACATATTCGGAAGAAGGCTCCTCAAGACTTCAGCCCGTACCAGAGCTCTTGAGAGTTGGGCCTTGGTCTCCGCGCAGCCCATGCCGAAGAAGAAGGCGGTGCCGAAGTCTCCATCCGTGGCCTTGTTGCCATCACCCGTCCATGTCTCCGTCCCATCCTCCGAGACATACCTGCTGGCACTTGGGAGGGACATAGGGGCACAGTAGGGGGCACAGTAGGGACACAGTAGGGATACAGTAGGGACACCCAGTGTACCAGTATGGCAAGTGCATGACGGTGCGATGGCGATGGGGACTGCACCAGGTGACTCAAGCGCATCTATTCAGCTCGGGTCACTGGGCCGTCGATGACAAGACCACCGGCTGTCCAAGAGCCAAGTTCGGTGCCAGTCGGGTGGCCAGCTGCCTCAGAGCAACTCTCTCCCCGGCTTGGAAGGGGAGCTTGGACGTGCATGAATGAAGATCGCACGCAGGCCTCTGTTCAATCTGTTCTTCGGCAGCACAGAGTGCCAAAAGCGCCCAAATACTCGAAGGCCTGTCAGACAAGGTGTCGATGCTGAGGCCCAGAGAAAACACGAACGTGCACTGGAAAAGGGTCTTGAGCAGTCTTGCCCGGCGGTTACCTGGCCTGCGCATGGCGCGGCTTAGCCGGCACGGCATACACAAGGCATCGCGACAGCGGACTAACTCTGTCGTCTTGTGAACTATGTGCATGCGGTCCTCAAGACTACAGTTCGACGAGGCTGTGGTTCTGGAAAGCCCCGCAGCTAGACTTCGAGAAGCTGTCCCAGTTCTTGCTGTCATCTTGGAAGCTATCTTGAAACGATCTGGCTTAATGACACTGACAGGGCAGCAACTATTGCTCTGCACATTGAGCCGAGTAGCCAATTACGCTCTTTCATCATGCGGAGATCAGGTGCGCACCCGGGCGCACAGGCAAAGCCAAATCCAGGAGTGCACCGTGCATTTATGACTTTCCAGCTTGGGCCTGGTCGTCAGAATGTTTAATTTATAGTCTCGCAAGCGACTAAAGCAAGATTGGACCTGCCGACTTCTAGCGATGTACCATCAACAAGCCCATGATTCCAGCACACATTCCTGCGTGTGCACTCACCGCCACACAGGCTCAGCTTTTTTTCACGCGCTGGTGTGACAACGGGGCTCGCGCCAGAATGTGCAGACTTGACATAGTTTCTTCACGTCTTTGTTCACATCCATCAGAGTCGCTCAGGCATGTCCAAGCCCAGGCAACGTGTGCGCCGAATCAAGCAGCAATTTCTGCCGAAACGGCGCTCTGAGGCTTCTCCAGCCACGCATTCAAAGGAACGCCTGGTGGCGCAAGCGTCCCGCTGGGATCTGTGAACTCAAAGGAAGTTTTCTGCGCACTGCCTCGGCTATCTGCGGTGTCCTGAAATGCCCTAGCTGCCCTAGCTGAGCTCTTTGTTTGCTCTCGTTTGACGCTTCACAAGCAGACTTTAACCTTGCACTTACCCAAAAGTCGACAAAGCACCGGTCCCGAAATGATCTGAACTTGTCTACAGTCTATCCCACCATGTGCTGACCGGAACACTGCTCTGCAGTCGCCAAAGCTTCAACTCCAAAGGCACTGGCGGTGGAGAGGGCTTTCCTCACATGCGTTGCGCAACTCACAAACATTCTAAAAACATCTAAAAATGAGCTTTCCTGGGAGACTGCAGAAATACCGTGGCTCACATGCTTGAAAGTTCAATGTATTGAAAGAGATGCCGAAAGGGTTGACTTTAGAGGGAGCAGGAATGCGCAGGCGCCGGTTGCTTTGCGACATTCCTGGAAGTAGTCGAGTTTCACCGGGCAGTTCAGACAAGCTGGGAGAGAGCACATGCATATTTGGCAAAAAAAGCGTGTGCGAACTCAACATAGACCTGCTCAGTCATGGAGCCTATGATTCGTGATCTGTATGTAGGCCTTGAGTGAGAGAAGCAGAGTTGGACGCAACATGCCTGACGCACGAATGTTTCATTGTTCTGGACCGTGTTCCCGAGCTCATGACCAAAGTATGCCGCGCAGATCCGACTTTGGGCTGGCTCCGTGCAACCACAGCAGCCGGGAACGTTGAAGTCCACTTCGGCGGTACAGCTGCTGTCCAGATCCGCTGAAACCACCTCGAACTCACTACTGTGGGAAACGCAAAACCATACCAACCTTCATTGTGCATGAGACAGCTGCTGCAGAACTCGCTTCACAACTTGCATTTACAACAAGGGCCCCGATGACAAGAGGCCGCTCCTAGCCAGCAAGCATGCACCAGGCATGCACTAGACAGAAGTAGCAATATGTACTTGCATGGTTCCGAAGCTTAAAGTCCCGGACCCAGGTCTGATTGTTGCCGCTGGGTTTGATGGTCATCTTGCCCGCGTTGATGTCCACGGCCTGTGCCAGCTTAACATGCTTTGAGCGTCGTTGAGTGCTCTGCTTGCAACCTTGGAATGAGGGACCTTTGAAACCCTTAAGAGATTCTATAGGGCTCCAGAAGTCCCCAACTCCCTAGTAAGAATCAGTTCACGCTCATGAGCTGCCTTTTTGTCACCATCGTGCATGTCCGCATAGACAGCATTGAGGCGCTCCTTGGCACAAACAGTTGAGCAGCGCCGCCAGTATTTTCTGCACAGAAATCCAACGGTTCCTGCGACCACGAGCCATGCCCATGGGTCATTCATACCGGCACTCTACAAAACGTCGCAAATGTGTTCTGAGCTGTGCCATATGAAGCTTCTGTACCTACGCTCTTGGAGCCGGTGCGATGCAACCTACTTCGCAAATCATGAAAGGCTCAATCCAATGCAGGCAAGGCAACACGACAAGCAAAAAGTGCTGAGCCTTCCACAGACTAACAGCCCACTATAGCCCACTCCTAACTTGATCCGTGGCTCGGGGCAAGCTATCGGTTCTGACCTCACGCGGCAGCACACAGAAGGGCAAGGCTTTCCAAACATGTCTTAGTTCAATTCGAACACTTAACCCTAGCCTTTCAAATAAGCCGTAAAGCTTAACCCCTGACACATCTGCTACACTGAGCGCCGCCAGTGCCCAGGGTTTTATGGCACGGCGTGCAGGGCGGTACACAGCTCCTCCACTCAGCGCAATTTGTGAGAGCAACCTTGAAGCCACTTAAAACCGGATCTGCTGACAAGAGACGACCGGGGTGTGCTAAGCGAAAGCCAAGAATTCAGCGGGGCGTGAGGGGAAGCGAGCCTCGGAGCAGGTACGGGGATGACAACGAGTTTAGCGAGGATTTCAATTGTAACGGTTCGGTTCGGTGTTGTTCAGAGTTCGGGCTGGCGGCTTTCGAATCCTTGGTTGGGGTGCAACTTCCTCTCTGGATTCCAGAATGCATGTATTGGGTGATCTTGTGGCACAGCTCTGAAGAAGTAGCACGCCGGCGTGGATTCAACCACCCTGCACATCGTTTGCTTCTGCAGGTCCGGAGAGCTCAAAATCTTCTGGAAAAGCCATAGTGCCGTCCGTGGCTTCCAGTTCCGAGGCTCCAGACCCCTTCACATGTGCAGCATCAGAGGACCCGAGTTTGATGCTCTGCTTCGATTGTTAAGAGCTTTGGGCATTCCATCATACACGCGATAAACAATACTGCCGCACATGCTTGTCAGAAAACTGTGGTAATCAAAGCCCTCTCGTTTTCTTCATCTTCATCATAATACATATACATCTGTATGAAGACGCGTAAATGTATATATATATATATATATATTTTGTGTGTATACTGCATTTACGCTCATCGCTGTACTTGTAACTATACAGTTGTATACTGCTGTATCTGGCCTGTTGTTTGGCGTCCCTTTCTGCACTAGTTTCGGTCTTTCCTTTTTTTACTTGTTTCTTTCAATCAGTCTTTAGGGGGAGATGCCCTTTCCCTCCTCCCCCCCCTCCCCCCTCTCCCCCCCCTCCCCCCTCTCCGCCCCCCCACCCGTCCTGCCCCCCCCCGCCCCCCAAAGGCAAGCCCGTTTGACGGGTCGGAATGAGATCTCGCTCTCGCTCCTCTCTCTCGGCGGAAAGGAGACAAAGCAGCCAAAAGAGTAGGCAAGCACCTTGGCAGCGACTCTGGGCACTCGGCTTGCCAGAGGGATCTGTAAACTCGAAAGTTGCTTTCGCCTCTCCTGCGGAGCCTTCATCTCCTGTGGCCAACCTGAAATGGCAGCGCAAGGCCGAATTCTCGCAAGTAGAGCTTAAAAAACTCCCGTGCAACTTCCTGGCGCTCTGGTGTTCAACTCAGCCGGGTGCCAGAGCGTCATCAGCAAACTCACCGGAGGCGGATTTGGCTTTCCTCAGAAGCAGTAAGCTAGAGTGTCGCAGACAGACAAGCCATGAGTTTGCCTCCTGAGACACCTATCCTCAAGCAAGGTCCTTTCTACACAAGACACAAGACCAGTGCTCATGCTTGAATGGGTTAAGTTCTTCATTCCTGCACAACGAAGCTGCAAGCTCGATTCCAGACGCTGAGCCAGTCGGGCACACGTTTTGCGGGGGACCGACAGGTCTTCTCAACGCGTCATCACCTTCGGATACCTTTACGTGAATGCCTGCGCCGGCTGAGGACCAAGGGGCCGGGGACGTTGAAGTTAATCATAGCCCCGCAAGTCTCAACGTCCAACTCGGCATTCCTAGGAGACTGACGTGGCGCGACGCAGCAAGCCTCACCAACTTACTCAATCTCAAGATACATTAAGATTCTCAAAAAGTGCTGGGGTCTTCATCGGATTGTCAGACGTGCTGGGGTCTTCGGCGAGAGTCACAATCCACGACTGCGAGTTCCCGCTGGGCTTGATGGTCAAAGAGCTGCCAGCAATGATCACCTGCTGAGAAGATGGAGAGAAGGGATGGAGAAGGGAGCTTGGAATGGCTTGGAGCTCAAAGAAGCTGGAAGATGCTGGAAGATGCTGGAAGAGGCCAGCGACAGGCCTCTTTCTTGTCGCCATCATGCATGTCTGCGAAGATGCCATGAAGTTCCTGCAAGCGGCAAATGGCGGCAATGGACTCTAAAGTTCTTTTTAAAGTGGCATATGGATGCTCCTGCGGACAGTTTCGGCCAAGTGCCGAGGATGCCAGCAATCCCAGTACCCTGCGCAAGGCGTCTTCGGTATTCTTCTGTGCAACATTCCATGAACAGAAGTCGAGGTGTGTCGTACAGAACCTTGCGACCTCTGCATGGAGTATCACTGAGAACAATATCTTCAAGAGCTGTGCAGCTGGAGGCATCTGCTTGCAGCACGAGAAGCCGGGTAAACATTGTCGGTTCGGTGTCGGAACAGTCTCAGTCTGAGCCAAGTGGGCCAAGTGTAACGAGGCTCTCCAGCTGTTTGCGGGCCACTTTGCGGCATCAAACCTCCGTCGCCAACAACAAACCCAGAAGCTCAACATCAGCCCACGAAGAAAAGGTAGAGCTCTGCCGTAAGGGAATTTGTTGGGTTGGGGGAAAACCCATTCCCAAGACTTCTTTTGAGCGTTAACTTGTCGAATTTCGGGTCCACCCCTATAGACTCAAGGACTGGCCTAAACAAGCAAGCGCGACCAGGAATGCCGCTCCCAACTGTTGCAGCAGTCAGCCGCTTGAACAGCATGTTGACTTCGGTACCAACTGCCAGGTCCCTTAAGCCATAGGTGGGGTTCTGATGGGTTTCTTGGGATGGCTGTAGGTTGGGGAGGCTAAATAATGGCTCTCGACAATTCACATGATGGTAACACGAGTCGAATCGGTGCCATCTGCCCATCCTTTTCCCGGAGCCAAGCCACTCTGTCCTGTGCCTATGTACACTGCCTGAAGGCGGGGCACTTCTGCGCCAGAGAGGTTTGTCTCGAAGGGTGCCGGCTGCAACTCGCAATTGACTGACCTTGCTGGCCTTTGGCATTATTCTTGGTCTTCCTGCGTGGTTCGGCTTGATCATCCTGCGAGATTACCTTCACCACAATTGCGCCGGAAGGTGAAACAGGTCGTCTGCAAAGCAAGGGGCTTGCAGAAGCTCGCTACAGAGTCTTGTGTGGATCCAGGCGTGTCGTGGCAGCCGAGGCTGGCATCAAACGGCTCAGCGCCTCTTCGTCGGCAAGCGTGGCAACTGAGGGCTTGCAGATTCCCTTGGCCTTGGCGCCGAGTCCCCTCACGGATCGCGCGGTGGTATCCGAGTATCCCCCAATTAGCGACCCACAAAGTATTGTGGTCATCGCTTGCAGAACATACTTGAAACCTTGTATAGCAGGAGAGCCCTGCGGCTTACCTGACACACAGTCTGACCCGGAAAGTCTGTCGCCCTCACAACAGGACTGTCTGGGCGCCGCGCCTCGCGTTATTTGATTGCCTGGAGGCATAGAGAAGAAAGTCAGACGGAGTTAAACCAACCGAAGACAGGTCCTAGCTTCTCTCAGCTGCCATCACCGGATACGCAGGTGCCCAGTGTGAATGAACTCCCGCACCTCTCCAAGCTGGTTCCATTCTTCGGCCTGCGAAAGCCGCGCTCCTGGCACGACTGCCGCTGGCATCTGAAATCGATGGGAACATGGAAGATCTACCGAATGGTCCTGTGTATTGACCCATAGGATAGGTTCAAGTCACAATGAGGCCGCATGCACCGACACTTCTCGTTTAGCATCGATAAGCGATGTCCACGAAGCTACCTCTCCATACCTGAAAGTGGCTCCGGTCCTCGCCAATAGCTGCTGCCGCTTCAATCGCAGCTGCTGCTTGAGCCTTGCATAGGCGGCTAAGACAAGCGTGACAAAATGCATGAGGGCGTAACCTGTGCAACGACAAATCGTTCAGGCTCCGGGTACATCCGTCGTGACATCCATCATGTGGAAACTTCAAGTGGGCCTCCGATTAGCAATAGAGCGAAGTTTGGCCGGTTCAGAAAGGTAAAAAAAATACCTCAGAACAACTCTGAATTTGGGTGGGAAGTCTGCTCCCAGGGTAAATGTCCGAACGGCCCCCCCCCCCCCCCCCCCCCCCCCCCCCCCTCCCCAGCTCTCGAAGATTGTCAGGCAGCCATTGTTAAGCTTTAATTGTCAGGGTTTTACTCCCTGCCTCTTTCTGGCCCCTCTTCCCCAGACCCTGCCGGGGGTCTACAAACCTCCCTCGAACCTGAGCTTGGTCAGATGCGCGGTGCTTTTAGCACCTGAAGGCCTTGACTCTGAAGTCTGCAAGTCCACCAAGTAAGCCTCACGGCAACCCCCCCGAGCTCAACCAGAAAATCCTCACATGAGTCTGAGGCCTGTTGGCTTCGCCGGGGAGCTTCCGAGCGCGACCTTCAGCCACGCGATCATCGCAGCTAAGACAAAGGCTGCTGTAGCAAGCTTTACTCCCAAGATCTCCCAAGCACAGTCGTACATCAGATACCATATACATCGTACACTCAACTGTAACGAACGAACACGTGAGAGTGAAGCCGCAACAGCGATCGCCATGAAGCCCTGCCTAATGGGACTGGGCCGGTTGGCAGACCTTTGCACAAGATCTGCACAGCTCTCAGCCGGCTTGAGACAAAGGCTGGGGCTTTGAGTTTCTCTGGCTGCTATGGGCTATGGCATTGATCATGGGGATGCCACAAGGCTGATGTGAGCAGAAGTTTTCCACTGTGTGGTCGCAACATTTGACAGCAGGACTTTGGAGGGCAGCGGCGGCAACGTGTGATATCGTAGGACTTCGCATCAGACGACATCTTAAACTGAAGGGCATCAGCCGACAAAGATTTTGTGAGTGCACATCGGTGCTGCAGTGGTTGAGCATCCCACGGTGCAACACGTCCACCGGGAGTAGCCTGCAGAAGCAAACCGGGATCCAGTCGGAAGAAAGTACAGAGAAGCAACTCAGACTAGGCATCAACTCGCATCGAGTATCTCGGATCCAGCACATCAACAACGTGTTGCTTTGCATATTTCTTAGGGATTCGTGTGTGTGTGTGTGAAGCCCCAATGCCTTGCTCTCCGGCACGGGTGGGAGCGACGCCGACTTTGTCACGGAGCCAGGTGCACCTTGGATGGGGGCTACTTTTCATCAAGCTCTGGCAAGCCCCGAGCCACAACAGATGTCGCTCTCATCTCATGGCCTTAATACTCTTAATACTCCTCCTTATCGCGTTTTCAATACGCTCCATCGGCTGCAGCTCCGACTCATTTCTTCACATCCTCCGAGGCCCCCTAAACCCTAAACCACACACGGCGGGAGCCACCGTTACAACAGGGTCAAAAGGCATCAAAGAAGTCGAGTTCCCGACCCTGACTTCCTCGACCACGGCCGCGGCCTCTCTCACGCTTTGATAAGCGTTCAGGGTTTCGGCGGAGTTTATGTCAGGAGCCAAGTGCTGCAGTCGAACTGTCAGACCAACACAACACCCGACTCTAAATACAAAGGGACTGCGATCCCTCCTTGTGCAGGTCCCGATCGCGCGCCACGGCCGCCTGGCAACGGAGGAGCTCCAGGTCTGACCCCTTTTTGAACCCTCCTTTAACCCCCTCTAACTTAGCCTCTAATCCGATAAACCCTCTAAACCCTACGGGGCGACTGTAAATCTTATGGTTGCTATAAAACCCTATATATATATATACCCTCTATATACATATATATATATATATACCCCTTTGGTCGGTGGCCTGGACCAGCCTCGGAATTCTCCGACCTGGCATGGCCAAGTCAGTTGGCCCCTGCTTGGAAATTTCCCAAAAAAAATCCGAAGCAAGGTCGATTGTGTTGCTCCATAGCGTCACTGCCATCCCCGTGCATCAGGCTAGCTGGCTCGGGAGTTCCTTTATGGAAGTTGATCCAATTTGCTTTGTCCCCGAAGTGCATCTTGCGCGAACATCAAAGTTACTCTCGCTGAACTTTAGCACACCAAATTATCGATGTGGCTGCGTTCTGAAGTGTTTGAATTCGGACATCGATGAGAACACCTGCCTGGATGTCGGACGCTCTTGGCTCACGGCTTGCTCTCCTGGAGACCGGTTACATGCCGCCAGTAGCCGTATTGTCTCATGGAGCGAATTCAAGCCGGGCAATATCTTGGATCAGTCCTCTCCTAAAACATGTTCTGACGTTGCTGATGTTGTTTATCTTCCGGAGGTTGCACCATGACATGGAACCCTGCATTGAGCTGATGCAATTTCGAAGGGCTCCCAACGATCACCTCCTACACACAAGGCCCAAGCCAGCACAGTCAGACGCGCGTCACTAGACCACAAAAGCACACTAAATATTCCTTGTCTTGCAGCTGAACAAACAAGAACGACGTCTTTCCTAAACAGCTGGGCTCCCTGCGCGGCTTCCGTCGAGGGCCTTGGGCTTGCTCCGCAGCCTTCATGAGCGCTCCTGGCTTCGAAGGGTGGGTAGAGGCAGACTGCAGGCCCTTCCGCCATCGTCTGGCCCAGCAGTCCTTCTGTGTTTTTTGCCGGTTTTGTCGGGCCGCTCCGAGGTGCCTTCGGCTTGTACGAGAAAACCCCTCAGACTCACCACGCAACCACCAACGGCTTGTGCAACCACAGGGGTCAGTGAAGTACAAGGTGCATGTGCAAAGCTTTAGATAGGAGAGTTTCAGAGCAGCTGGGCATAGCAGCTGGCATTGATAGACAACGGTTCAAGGTTTCGGCTTCGGGGGGCTTAGGCTAGTTGGTGTCACTTTGTGTCGGTTAGCACTCTGCGTGTCCTTGGCTTTTCCATTGTACAACCCCAAAGCCTTGCCTGCCCTTCCGTTGTAGGTGCAGGCGACGCCGATTGCGGCTTCTCATCGCCAGTGCTAGGGGAGAGAGACCCCAGAGCATCTGGTGACCTCTTCAGGTTCGCATCTGGCAACAGGCAACGTTAGGTAGGCCACCGCAGACTCACCCAACACATGTGACACAGGTCCGGCTTTTCACTGGTCGAAGCTTCCAGCAGCGCGTTTGCCTTCAAAAAACCAAAACACATCAATCAAACGATCATAGGAAGCAGAATGGCTGTCCTCCTCGGCCGGCGTCCGCATAGGCATCTTCACAGGCCTCATGAGTTTGGCTTTCTGTTGCTTTTCATCATTGAGTCCACAACTTTTGTGGTGCAGCTCAGAGACTGACGACTCGTTGGCAGACAGAGCACCTTGCCATACAGCGTCTTAGCCATCACCCTGTCTCTCGCCGAAAACTTCGCTCAGCATCTGTACGCATGGCGACTGATATGCCTGATCCTGCAGCATCGCAAATTAACTGAAAGCAAGTGTAGATTGAGCTGCATTTTGTCACCGTTTCAAAACAATCGCAGTAGCAATAGCGAAAGCGGCCGGAACTGTAGCGAAGGCCCCCAAAGCCACTTAAAGCCATTGCACAGCATGTCCAGAGTCTGTTGTGCACGACGCGAACCTGGTGAAGGCACTTTTGTTTGAGCACGGTAACACGGCTAAGGAAAAATGGGTGCGCACATTGTGCCAAAAGATGCCGCACACTTGTCATTGAAAACCATGTTCGGACGACGCAAGCCGCTGTCGAGAAAGCTAAGCTAGGGCGACCACGCCTAACTGCCTAATGTGCTGCCGAGGGTGATTCACATGTTTTGCGGGTCCTATGACTTCTGTTCTCTCGGGCTGAGTGGTTTTACGATGCCCTAAGGAGCTGCTGGTCTTACAGTATGTTTTTGCCGTGCCGCCTAAAATGTCATGATCAGTACCTCGTTGTAGCGTGTCAGTGTGTGTGTGTGTGTGTGTGCAAGTTTGCGGGGGCATCTCACTTGAGTCACTTCAGCATTCTCGGAACCATCTCTTCGGCCTGGTTCGGGCGAAGGAGTTGGCGACAGCATGGGCGGCGACAGCGGAGACATCAAGCGGTCCGAGGAGTGGCCACGCCTTGCGGGGTCCGCTTTGGGAATGTCAAAACAGCAAAAGGGAGCTTCAGCGTCTCAAGATTTACTTCAGAATTGAGCTTGTGGCAACATGCAGGACCCCCACACCCTGCACATCTCAGGAACCCGACCGCTTTGGCGACATCATCCGATAACTGCGGGCGATGTAGGCGTGGAACCTCGGTCAAAAAACTGCAGGAAGCGAGCCTGGGTGGCTTCCATGAAGTATGCCATGTATGCTTCGCGCTTCGCCCCGCAAAAGTGCTGCGCGCCAGGCTTCTGGTGCTGCGCATCGGCCACTGCAGCGCTGGCGCGGAAGCAGCGCAGGGCCTCGTCAATCACAGGCGCCCCCCGGCTCTCGCCTTAAAGAGCTCTGCGGCACGCGCCTCCTCTGCTGCGGCTGCCTCAGTAGAGGCCATCTCTGCAATGGCGTCTACCTCTGCCTGCGGGATTCCATCACCTGCTCGTTGCGCAGCAAATGCAGAGATCATCAGCACCAGAAGCAGTTTAGTCTTGCTTTGTCTCGCTGCCTTGCACAAGGGCAGTGGATGTGAGATGAAAGTGAGCAGCAAGCTCCTGAAACAGGGTCGAGTCAGACCACTTGGAAGCCCCCCGGGGATATGTCGTGGACGAATGCAGGGCAGGAACTGCAAAAGCAAGAAGCTACTTTCTTTGACAATACGTGATGATGCATAACGCACAGTGAATTTAGACCCTGCAATCCCCGGATCAGTGAGCCTCCTCATCCAAGAAGTTGTCGCCGTCGTCGGCGTCGCCCTTGCGCAGTTTTGCTGAGGCATGCGCAACTGGGCCAGACACACGCTCACCGAACAGGATGCCCTCAAAATACTTACTGGAAATCCTACTGGCGGTAGGGGAGTGAAGATAGGATTACTTTGAAGTTGGATATGGGGGTGGGCTCCGGGCTAAAACCCTCACGCCCCGCGAGGCGGAAAGTTTCAGTTGGGGATCCCACAGGATGGCTACGGGGAGTATATAGTGTCAGGGGCTCATGTAGAAACACAAAAACCGCCTCAAATTACGAAGCTGGCGCAATGAAAGGGCCATTCCACGCCGTGCCTCCAGCTTCGGGTCCGCTGTGTCCTCTTCCGAGTCCTCGACTTCTTTTTGTGGATGGAAACTACCGCTGACTAAATTACGCTGGACCAAAATCTCGATGCCACACACACCATGGAGTAAATGTATCCGTCAGGGGAGCGACGGCACTTTAAAAACAAACATCCCCACACATCACTGGGCTGGAGTCTGCTCTCAACGCAGAGATTCCTCCCCGTCGCTTTCATTCTCGCTGGCAGCTCGGCTGAGCTGATGCAGTAAGAACTCCAGCTGCCTGACAAGAGGTTCTTTCTGAGAAAGCTGCCCATGGTCGCCATCACCGGCAAGACATGCTGAGTCTGCTATCGGAGGAGTACCGCTGACCTCTGGAGGAGGTCATTGTCAGGTCCGACTCGCTTCAGCCTGCCATTCTGAGATCACCCCAAGAGACAAACCAACCAGGTTAAGTCATTGCTGATATACCGTGATTTCCACGTGCTCCAGCTGTTTTCGTTCGACTAAAGATGACTCAAGGGGATCAAGCTCCCGTTGGATCGGAGACATGGCGCTGAATACGGCCCTAAATAACTAAATATACAGATGTATATATATATATATACATGTATTTACATATGCAGAAGATGTACAGATGCATCCTGCAAGTCAACTCACCAAGCAATGGAGGCGGCATCACGCGGAGCGAAAGACCGCCTCCAGGCAACAGCAGTGAAGCCCCGAGGATGAGAGTCTGGAGGCGGGGTCCCATCGCAACCCTGAGAACTACCTTGAGCGCCCAAAACCCTGAAAAAGGTGGGTTCGGAACCCAGAACCGGGTTTTCCGGAAGATTTTGTCCAAAACTTGGTTTTGACTAACAGAACCGGGTTCTTTCAAAATGTGACGTATAGAGCCCGTAAATACTCGTCGGAAAACCCTTTAAAAACCGTCGAAAACCCATTCAAAAAAAAAAACGTCGGCTTTCATTTGCCCCTACAAAACCCGGTTTTGGTTTCCAGAACCTGGTTTTAAAGTAGAACCTTTTTTGGGGGGTTGTGGTTGCTGAAGGTATCCCAGGCTCGAACGCTCGAGGACCACAGCGCCCTTGCTCAATTTTCTCAAAACCTAAGCAAAGGTCCTTGCAGTCGAACCCCCGAGCCCAGACCTCAGCGCCCTTCTGCTGCGCTTCTGCCCGGATCGCACTCACCTTACTCGCCGCTAGAAGCAAATGGTTGCTGAGACCAGAAAATTCTCCTAAGAGCGCTTAGAGTGTTTCGTTGCAAAGGCTGGAATCCCAGCAGCGCCTTCAATCTTTCCTGAAGTTGATTTGAGACCGAAGATGAAACGCCTCGGGGTATTTGGGGGGGGGGGGGGGGGGGTTGAGAGGGATCCTATAATCAAGGGATGCTAGGAGGGGCTAGGAGGGACGCCTATGGGACCGCTTACAGTAATCCTACTCCCATCCACTACCCTAAATAACCCCAATGTATAGCCCCTAGCTCCGGCACAGCGACTGCAGATTGGGGCCCATGGCTCCAAGCAGCGTGTAGAGCGTCCCATTGATGTGTGTTCGAACCTGCCATCATGCTCAAGATGTAGCACACCTTCGTCAGCGTAAAACCGTTCATCGCCTCATTCACCTGACCTGTCTGACAAAATGCCCAAACCAGATTCCGTACTGAAAAGAGCTAGATAGCTGAAGCTGCTGTGCTGCTAACCCCTCCTTCTGACTACTCATGAGCATCCAAGCAGAGCTAGCAAGCCACCACAATCCACCCATAGCCTGCGGGTTCGGATGCTCGATCAAGCCTACGAGAATGCCATATGCTCCCAGATCTGCACACCTAAGTGTCGGGTTGTCATGAGCAAAGTCTGCAGCACCGCACGACACGGATCCAAACAAAACTATTGAGTAAAACTGCTGCCCGGCACTTCCACAGTTGCTATGCTATCAACACGATGATGCATCTGGTACATATGGCACATGGTGTCTTTTGTACACTACTGCAAGCAAAAAGGATTCAGAGCTCGAGGAAGGAGAGAAAGCGATTCTTTGCATGTGTACATAGTGTGTATAAATATGTAAAGGTGAATGTGTATATATAATATATGGATATCTATTCATTTTTTGGTTTGGTTACAGTCATTTCTTTATGCCTGTCGATTTCTTTTATTTGTTATATTTATTTATCGATATTTCTTTGTTTGTTTGTATATGTCTATTCATAGATATGTATATATATATATATATATATATATATATATATATACTTTTTAAAACTATGTATTGCACAAAAACATATATATATATATATATGTATATGCGTGTGTGTGTGTGAAATGTATGTATGTGCACTCCCCGGGACTGTCCGGGACATTCCGGGACTGTCGCCGTCGCCGCCCGGCCGAACGGAGCGTGAGGTTCATGAGGAGCGCTGAGGTGAACTGCGCAGGAGGTAGGATGCTCGTGATTGGGGCTTTGCCAAACGTAGTGTGGTGCACGAAGGGTTGTGAGGCCATGTTGTGCATGGATTCGGACTCGATTGCAGACGGCCGAGCGAAAGCACTTCACATCCGACTCAGTCACTAACACAGCAATTGAGCCATGCAGAGCCAGGATCTCTCAAGTGGGCGGATAGGCTGGCAACAGGTAGCACACCTCGATAGAAAAGTCCGGCGTTTCTGGGCCCTCTCCAGGACCCAGTCGACACCTTCGTCAAAATCATAGTTGTCTCGGTGGTTCAACATGGCAGGGGCCTTGCAACATGGCACAGCAACAGCAAAGAAAAGTAAGGATTCCACCATCCTTGACCGCTGCTATTGCTGTCTGCATCTCCTTCCACCCTTCGCACTGACCTGCAAGACACAGAAATGAAGGCCATGGATGTTTGCAAGCGGAGTCAATGGAAATTCATGGCAGCTTGCGGTGTCATGTGGCCCGCGCTCAAGCAGCTTGAGGACGACATCCAAAGCACCAAGCTGAATCATCTTGGACTGGCAGGCATGGTGAGTTCAGGCTCAAGAAGACGCGACATCACGACAAAGAGGGAAGGGCTTGCTATGAGATTCTTCTGCTGTTTATAAACCCCGCATTTGCATTCCGTCAACCTGCAGCCGTTGCCTGAGACAGCTGAAGCAATGATCGAAAGTTTGACCACGCCAACCAAGTTGAACAATCCCGGCGACTACCGCTTGCGATACCGACTACGGAATGCTGGCTGGCTTTTGCCGAGGCCGTCTAATGTGACAGCCACCTTGCAAAAGGAATCTCCACAACAGCCCAGCAATGCGGGCAACCGTGGAGCAGCAAGAGCCACGAAGCTAATTCTCAGGGAGCCTGCAGATGCCCTCGCAGGGAAAGTCGCTGTAGAACAGCCTCAGGCACAAGCTGACGTTGAACGAAGGCACGCCTTTAAAGGGCTTGGCTCCAGGCATCTGTTTGATTAAGCTTGTGATTACAGGCCTTTTGCTGGTAGTCTTGTGGACACACACGTCTCATCGGCCCTACATTTTGTCTGACTCGAACTCTGAATTGTGCCGAAACTCGCGAGAGCCACACAAGCAAAGAGCATTTTCCCGCAACCTTCCAAACCGAAGCGTCAACGAAATGAGAATCACAAGGTCAATGTACTTCGGGTCACCCCCACAACGCTGCAACAGCCCGAGCCCTCAGCAGCTAGCAGGACACGCTACCATCAGTATCTCAGTAGCTTCAGACCTTCAGGATGCAGTCCCAATTCGAGGCCCGTGCGAGGCAATGCATATGCGCCAACGTTCGATCTGGCGTCGCGCAGTGCTTGCTGGACTCTGCTGGACATGGAGTTGAGCAATCGAAGCATCCCGATACTCTCCAACATCAAAATTGAAAGTGAGAGGTGCCCACCTGGCAAGCTGACAACCGAGATCAATGTTGAGAGGCATCCGCTGCCCTGGGCCTGAACATCGAAGCTTGGAGTTTGGAGTACCGTGGTAGTGGTACTGGTGCCAGAAATGCACGTCACGATGTCCCGTCTCCAGAAGCACTCCAGCAATGCATGCGCCATTGCCGATCAAACATGGGTCACATGACAACTTCAGAACACAACAATTGCAACCACAAACCTGAAACCCTAAGGAGCAGGACTCTCCGCCTCTGCCGCCTCGATCTCCCGTCGTCCGACCACCTTCACATCGTTTGCATTGCTTTGGGGATGGGGGCAGAAAGGCCTCTGGGCGTGGAATTTGAAGCAGCGTCTCAAAGTTTCAAGTGAGGGTGCGCAGTTGATCGGCTAGCTACTTACCGTCTCTCCTAGTGTCACTACCAAAAGCACGGTTTGCCCGCTGCATTTCTCTTTCAAACAATCTCGGCGCTTGCAGAGCCGCAGCCCCGCCCCACAACGCTGCCTTAAAAACCACCAGGGGCTAATCGCCCAACGGTGCAGACATTGTTTTTGTTAAAAATGCTGGCTGCAGCGACTCCCCATGCGCTTGGGGCAGTATGTACATGCGCCACGCAGGCAGGACCATCCTCAGCGATTCATGCAATGGCTTGGGTGAGGGAGTGAGATGACGACAACAGCAGGGCATCTATTCTGTGCATGCAAGGAGCATTCGCGTAAACTCTCTAGCGCAAGTATTTAAGCCTGTACTCTGGCAGGGGGCATGTATCTCGAACCATCACACCACCACATTGCTGCAGCTTGGGAGCATAGCCAAAAGCACCGACAGGATGAGCTCGGACCAAACCGGGTGGCCCACCCTGCACCGGGCTTAGGAGCATTTTGGGGTGCACTGCCACGTTTGCGTCTGCGATGCCTAGGGGCATGTATGCGGTGCTGCTCTTGTGATCACCACATAACGGGGGCCACGATTCGGCTCTGTCTAAGGTTGAAGCGTAAGGCCTTGAGAAAACTTGAGCATCGTTTTCCCCCTCAGAGGTATTCCTCGTGACATCCCGCTAAAGACGGTAGGCTGGGAGTTTCACACACTGGCTGGGCTCGTGCGAGAAAGCAGACACATGCAGCATAGCACATACAGTCATGAATCACAGATTGTCTTGGTGGACCCGAAACATGCATCCATTTGGCCGCGGCGCGGCGTCCGCTCGCACGTTTTCGTCACTGAGCTTTCGAAAGCCTGCATAGATGGGGCTGTGATGAGCAGAATTCTTGTCCAGCTGGGTCAGGTTGATGCAGGCTTGGGGTTGCAATTGCGCAGGATTTCAGGGTTTCAATACCGGACCGTCTGCAACTGCAAGCCTGCAAGCATACAAAGAAATTGTTGATTGAGTTGATGTGGCTTCCGTCTCATTGTGGCATTGCTGCGACTTCAATGGCCTAAGGCACATACTTTTTTGATTCGTACAGTGGCGTGGTGTAGATTTCGCACACGCAGATGCAAGATTGTGCGACTATCGCTAAAGCATGTCAGATCAGAGGATCCGAAGAGGTTTGAGACCGTCCGGTGACCCCAAATCCCCAAATCCACCTGCTCCCAGCTGAAGCCGATGAGGATGGCCGTGGCCTGGAACTCTTCAACATAGCCATGAAATTTCATGCGACTGCCCAGAGATGCGGGGCCTGGCTATTTGGCTATTTGTCTCTTTGGCTGTCTGCCCAGCCTTGATCAGGGTGCCGGAGCCGTGAAGAACCAGGCGGTGTTGCAAGTCCGCTTTGCAGCGCCACCCTGAGCTGAGCTCTGCCAAAGATCTCTGCCAAGTTGGCTCGGCTTTGTGAATTACCCTCAAATGTGCAGACGTGTCACATCGCGATCTCCCATATTGCTTGCTCTTCGTGGAGACGTCTTGCAAGGACCTGTTGTGGTCTTAGGGGTCTCCCTTGGGTACATTGTTCGCTCATTGGCGGTGCTGGAAGACACTGTGGCTCCTCTGGCGCACTGCCCAATCAGCGACAGGCCCTACACCCCAACCCCCCTACCCCAAATTTGGCAGAGGTTCACACCTGCCCAGAGTCCCACCGCTGTTCCACTCCAATGGACTGGCCTCCACCTTCCCACCCTCATCCACCCTCCTTCTCCTTATTTCGCTCCAAGCTCTCAGAACAAGCGCCTCTGCGCAGGCCCCGGCCGAGGTGGGTCGCGCAGCGTTAACATTGCAAACGCTTGCAGCCTTGCCTTCAAAGGCCAACACTGCTACCTCATAATGGAGTCGTGAATCCCTATGATACCCTATGCCAAGTATGCGCCAAAGCCAAGGGCGATACCCGGTCCGACTCCGCAGTCTGAGAAGCTGGTTCCTCGGGCTCAGGGCTTATATCATAAATCCTGCAGCGTTTCAGGGTTTGAGGCTTACTGGATATTGTTCTTGTGTCGTCTTTGATGTGCTTTGGATACCGGAGTTGGGGGAGGCACTACAGTGGTGAGTTGAGGGATTGCTTCAAGCTTCAAAGCTTTGATCAAAGCCAGCTTGAGGGCTTGGGAGTCGAAGGGTGACGCCAGTGAGTCAGTGCGATATAGTGCGATATAGTGCGATATAGTGCGAGACAGTGCGATAGGACATTCACTAAAGAAAAGGGGGCCGCTCCCACAAAGCCCCGTTTGGCACTGGGTCCGTGGAGACAAACCACACCGCGATCCAACTTCAGTGCGACAGGCCCGCGTTTCCCGTTCATGCTGTTGTCGTGCTCGAGTATTGCACGGACTGAGTACTTCTTCCAACAACGACACATCCTTCCACCAATGGCCTACGGTCTCCAAGACACTGCCCAGAAGTAGGTACCAGTAGTATAGGATTCCTGTTCAAACCGACTGGCTAAACGGTAGACCCGGTAGACATGCTCAACCATGGTCTCGTGCACGGCTCTGCGGTACGAACGTGTCCGTTTCAGCATGATGCAGGGCAAGCAGCTGCTGAATCTGCACGGCGGCGGACATCTTGTGGCGATCCACAATCTCAGAGCTCAGTGCAGATAATAACTGCGATGGAAAGAATCTATAGTGAGCGTTTGTTGCAGGAGGAGCAGTTCTCACCCAATGCCCCGGCACGTAACTTTAACTTGATCGACGCACTTCAAACGGATCCCATTATCCCGTTTCAACTTGTCCTGAGGCTGCTGCAATGTTCAGTGTCAGGATGATTCCAAACGCCTGATCAAGTTCCACAACAGCTCGGAACCACAAACTAGACAGGCAGTAAAGCACCCTCATCCTAGGCCCTCGCAACATTTTAGCCGCATTCGCCTCTGCTGCTTCAGTGTCCGGGACGCCTGCCGCGTCTGAACGGCTACCCGAGGCGTTTGAGTAGCACACGGGTGAAGAGGCCTTCTCCTTCCTAGATTCTAGAGTCTAGAGTCTCTCAAGGGGCAAAGACCTCACATCACCTGGGTCGAACCGGAATTGTTGCAGGTCCTCTTGGTCGAGGTGCAATGGCCCCAGCGGCCCCTGGGACAAGGACAGATGCTGGTTTGGGCGCAACAGGCCCAGGTGCCAACATCTGTGCCAAAGATGTCATGGGACGTGGCGCCGATGCAGGTGCCCGAGCAGCGACCGTCCCTGGGGCCATCACCGGGGCTGTTGCCGGGGCTGTTGCTGCAGCCGCTGGGCCGTCAAGACGAGGTCGCTTTGCAGCGCTGGCCGCAGCACTGGCACTCAGCTCCTGCGCGGGATTCAGCGGTGCTCGTGGGGCCACTGACGGACCTGTCGGAGTGCCCGAAGAGACTGGGGCAGCCGCTGGGTCAACTGCATTTAGAGGGCCTGGTGGCCGTATAGATGCTGCCAACTGTGGTGGCATAGCCTTTGCCTTCGGCGGCACCACAGTGCCGTTCACAGGCTGCGGCTTGACTGCAACTGCATTGAACCCATTCTCTGCATCCTTCGTCATGAGAGCGATGGAAGCAAATGGCCTATTTGGGAGGGTGATGGTATTGTTCGGCAAAGGTGGTAGTGTGGCCTCGTCCAAGGGTGGTGCCTCGGGGGCCCCTGCTTCCTCGCGATGCGCGAAGATTGCCTGGATGTCCATCCTGAGGAGCTCCCGCTGCCACTGCCCATTCTTGAAGTAATCCTCTACTTCTGCCAAGGGGTAAAGCCGGAAGAGCTCCTTGAAGAGCTCCACATCCGGCTTCCGCAACACGACATCCAGGTAGCGCTCGCCCATCAGAGCATCAGACCAGTGTGTCACTAAGCCATGTCATCCCCGCACCGGGGAAAAGCCGCCTTCTCTTTGAGCCAGAGGTGCCCCGCAGACATGGAAGCACACGCACCATGACAATCATGTTCAATGCCAAAAGCTGAAAGAGAGACTCAATATATCTCAACATGCTCAACGTGGCCCGTGTGCGCAAAATATCGCAAAATGCTGCCCCGGTGCCACGGCCGAATAGACCACAGCGAGCACAATGCCTCATCGCACGACGTGTGCCCAAGAAAAGGCATTGATTGCCACGGATGTAAACCAGACGCAAATCTGGCCCCAGATGCCTGCCGCGGTCAGTGACCCAAAATCAGGTCCAAGATACGTACAATCAAGTCCACCACTGCCCACTCTGGCAGCAGCCCAATGAGAAGGCGTTTTCCTCCTGATGACATACGGATCGCAACCGGAGCAATTTGCAGGCACATGCGGATTGTGCATCCGAGAGGCCGTAGTAGCCTCATCTAGCGAAATGCGTGGCAAGCTGTGAGAACGCTGATGTCGTGTGGGTCAAGTTGGGAGGCTACGTTTAAAAAAAGGCAGGCTTGGCGTATAACCCGGATGTGCTCAGATAGTTGCCTCCAAGCAGCAACACCAAGCGCAGCACATGCAGCCTCAAACGCAGCATCAAAAGCAGTTGCGGCAAGCCCAGCAAGCCCTGTGATCTTGAGGAGTAACCCTTTACAGGAGCTCCTGACACGCAAAATCTTCTAAGCGATTCCAGGTTGAAACTTCGACTTAACCTTGCAACGCAAAGCCTGCGTAATTCATCAGAAGATTCTGAAAACTTAGCGCCTTCTTTTGGCTCCCTTGGTCAATGGTCCACCCGCCAACTGCTAACTGCAAGGCTCCGTACAGACCCCAAACCTGAACCGCAAGCCTGCTTAAAAACATTGAAAATACGGCCCAGCAGCACACCAGCTGGAAAATCTCAAAAGTCCGCTTCAGTTCCTTCGACAGCGTGCGCGAGAAAACCTCCACGAGCTGCACGAACACCACTGCTACCTTGGCGCTCCAGAGGGTTTCGTTATGCTTCTT